ACAGTCTGTTAGAGATTATTCAATTTGTATATTTAGTATTAGTTTAATGCGGTTAAAGAACACATGTTAGTTCCGTATTTTTAGCCGCAAATGAACTGTGAATTAATAAGCTTTTCAATTAAAATACAAATACTATGATAAGGAATCGTGCTTTTATTCCAATCTTTTTATTACTTATGAGATTATATGATAAGGTAATTATAAATACTGCCAAACAGACAAAGTAATAAAGCGATATAATGTTCCTGTTCCTTTTATCGGGTACTTTCGTCTTTGTTCATCTAGTAAAAGAAAAACCTAGTTTCATAGTACATTTATATGAGACATAAGTCTTTGCAAAAATAATTTTTGCATACAAATATTCATAGAACATTCCATAAGATACGTCTGCAAGTGTCCTTAATAGCAATAAAATATTGCCATGAAGCAGACAAGAGTAAAACATAAATTGTATTGTCAGTTGTGTCGTAACAGCAAACTAATTTATAATTCTTTGACACATATAAAGTATTGTGTTTCCTATATTTTTTAACCATTCTAACTGAACTATCTTGCATATTTTAAGAAGAACAATATACAAGAAAATTATTCGTATATTTTTTTCTAATGTGTTGAGTTTTTTAAATGTAGATTGAATTATAGGACAACAATTATTAGCTATTCATTGACAACAATTTGAATAATATTTAACATGACGTACTTCACTAACATATATCCTCTTTGAACTTAGACTACAATCACGAAATATAATCCTATAGAGAAAAAAAAAAACATAATTTATGTTCGTTTTTTTTTCGGTTTGCAAATTTGAATTAATTTACTTAAGTGAAATGATCAATTATGAATCATTTTTAACAAGAACAAATCTAACGAAGAATTATAATAACAAATATGAGAATAACAAAATGATTGTCGATGAAGAAAATATACATACTAGTAGATAATGATGAAGAAAAGGAGAGTCCAATTAAATAGAATATTAAATAATTTAATGAATTATTTGAAAAACAAAATTCATACTTAATAATAATCAGATCATTTTTATGTTTTATTTACATTTATTCATATCATACGAACGTATTAATTAAAACTATTAGTCATTAAATCAAAAAAGCCAGTAACATTGAATTACTAACAATGGTTTTGTTGTTTGTTTATATTCTCGGTACGGACTCATCATTAATCTTTTCCTTTTTTTGTTTTTATTTTGATATTTCCCAACGTTTGTTCCTAGTATGCTATTTTGATCTAATAAAACGTATGTTGATTGTATCTGTTTATAAAACACAAGCAACAAGCCGACAATATCTTATAAATGTCACTGTGATATCAAGTTATTTGAGTCTGTGATCATAATATTTTTTTTTCAATTTGTTGTTTTCGAACGCTCCCAATTAGTTGCTAAGAAAAAAATATAGAAGAAAAGAAAAAAGTTCTTTTTGTTCATCTTCATATGCAGTTTGTTTTTACTTTTGTTGTTTATTATTTATTTTATACAATGAAAAAGTTTTTTTTCATTGTATAAAATAATATTCATTTGAGTTCTATTATGTGTTGTATTAGTAATTCTAATCAAGCAACAAGAAAAATCAACGATTGATTTGCAATGATTTCCGGTGATCTCCTATGACAAAAGCATTTATTAACATCAATATATATATACAAATTTTATTTAGATTGATAATATACTCATCAATCAAAACCTTTATCGTAAATTAACTATTCAAATGAATTATTGTATTTATTGATTAGAAATAGAAGTTATTGATTCTTTTTGTTCTATTAACAATTTCAAAAATAAAATTAACATTATTATATAAAAACGAAAGATTTAATGACCGTGACAAATCGTTAACATGTGTGATGTTTACGCCTCCAAACGATCTTGTGTATCATGGAAAAAAAGGAGGGACAGCCGCCACATAATGCGGAGATAGAAAAAAGAAAAAAAAATAACCCACTTCTTCTTTTAGTTATTGATAAGAATCAGTCCTTTAATCTTAGATATTCTATATGTGTACAGTTTCATCCTATAACTATCTGTCTTGTCTTTGTTTTCTCTTTTCCTCGTCATCATTTATACGACAACACCCGGCAATATAAATATAGTTCTCAACAGATTACTCTACGATGCATATTGCCATTCAATAACATAAATTTACAAATATAAACCGTTTATTGTTTTTGTTCCCTGTACCATAGCACACTAAACATTATCGCTATGTAATGAATCAATAATTCAACCGTTTCCGAAATGAAACTCTCCTCTGAATTGTTAAATGACTAAGTGACAATAAATATATCATACAATTGATGTCATTTTGAAAAAGGTTAGTACTATAAATAGGAATACAAATGACATTCTCAAGAACAGTTTGAACCTATTTTCATTTATTGAATTGAATATATAAATTTAATTTTATGCTCTTTTCTCTTGTATCAGTTAAGCATTAATTATGATTGATTAGAACAATGACAATATAGTGTGTGCTGATACGTCTCGTGCTTCCAATGCCATCAGAAACAGAAATAAAGTCTACATAGTTAATTGAGAGGAGTTCCTTGGATGTCTGAAAAATGCATTGTTTCGATAATTTCATCAGACAAAGCAAATTTTTTCTATATTCTTCCATTCTTATATCTTCATTGCAACAATTGTCAATTTTCTTTTTATTATACAAATTTAGTTATTCCTGTTGTTAAAGTTTTTATTTATCCTCTCTAAGGAAATAACATAAACGAAAGTTATGACATTGATTAAATTTTCTAAAGTAAAGCACGAATACAAGAAAAACAACGAAATAAGAAGAAGGCTAACAGGTAATTTATTTAATTTTAAAAAACGAAGTAAATGACATAAATGAACCTATGTTTATGCCGTTTTTTTATATTTCCTGCAACTAAATACAATTTAGCTTACGGAATGAATGTCACAGGTTTTTTTATTTCGCCAATCAATCATCAATCATTATAGTGAACATTAGGTTTTTTTTTCTTTCCGTTTTTCTTTCCTATCTTCTCCTTTTCCTCTCTATCTCTTTCTTCTTTACAAGCATGCGTATAGCACGGCTGATTATTCTCGTAGACGTCACAATTTTTTTTCTGTCGACGTATTGCCTCGAGTCTCTGCATTATTACTACTAATAGTACTGCGCTCCATTGTCGCCATTACCAGAAAAGTAGTACTTAAACAAGTCGTGTCCTTTTTTTCATTATTGGTACTCGGAAATAGTTTATTTTTTTTCGTTAGTAAATAGAATACAGAAGAAGAAGAAAAAGTTTGCTTAAAAATTATTTATTTATCTATTATTATAACATACATTTGTGGTGGAAAACAAAATTTTTCTATTGATCATCCAGTAATATGAGCAGATCTATCATCTATATCTAAATATCTCACTTTGACATCAAGCGGAAATTAAGAGAGACGAAGGAAAACAAAATTGAGACGCTTAAATAGCCATCATTGAAACATCATCATTTGTTACAGTCGCATATCGATCATCATCTTATTAGAGTCAATTTTCAGAGTGATATATCATATCAATCAAGAAAAAACAAAAAAAGTAAGTATTATTTATTTATTTATATATAATAGTTGATGTTAAAAATTCAGAATGTAGTGACATATTGCATTCGTAATAATCATAATGTGAATGTTGTTCAATAATAAGCCCGCGCAATTGTAATGTTGGTCAATATTTACAAGGCCTTTCCTCACTTCAATAGGTTCCGATTGAGATAAACGAATAAAACAAAAATAACAACCCTCGATCGTTTTGTTTTTTTAGGAGCAGAAGAAAGATTGTATTTAATCTTATTACTAGTGCCAACTATTTGATTGTCAAAAACGTAATATTATATATACAGTATATATATATATCTATATATATGTGTGCGTGTGAAAAAAAACATTGAAGAAAAGCTTTCTTTCTACCTGAAGGCTTAGTAAAGTGTAATGTTAATCCGATATATTCTTCTTTTATGTATCTTTTCTTGTCTTGGCTTCATCTTATGCAAACATGCATATGCTCGATAGCTTATTCATTTTACCGATAGAAGCTGTATTTATATATATATATATGCTGTTGGCCATTCAACGACTTTGCAAATATCGACAATTATCGATCAACTATTTTTTTTTTGTTATTCGATGCTTGTTGATATTAACAGTATGCGTCCAAAATATGGTTAACAGACCAATAGTTGTGAAGTTTTGCTTTAGTACAAGTTGAATATATGGATATGCGACCTTGTCTATGATAATCTCCAAGGACTTTAATAGATCTTTTTTTTTTGGTCGGTCTATTTGACAAAAATCTTTTTATATGACATTGTAATAATGGAAAATACAAAAGAATGTGTGAAATAAAATACAAGTATGTTAACAAGAACATGTAGATTTACATATATAAAAGATTCTCATGTGTATAAAACAAATGTAGGAAAACTGACGCTAACCATTACTATCAGTATTCTTCTTTTTGTTGTTCCAAATGACTAAAGATAATAACAAAAAATATTTCTATAGTCATAGGAATAAAAATGATTATTTGTCAGCTATTAATCATATTAAACGAACAAAAAAAAATACATAACAAAATATCAAATATTATTTGAGGATTTGGTAGGTAGAATAGATTTCATTAAGAATTTTTGATAAAAAATAGAAAAGGAAAGAATCTGTATTTATTTTATGTGCATATTTCGATCTTAAATAATCATGATTTGTTCTTATTATTACGAAATTTATTTATGTATAGGAAAAATCTAATCTTTAGTTTTAATTTTTATTATTTCTATTTAGTGCTTAGCCAAATCTATTCTTTAAATTGTTATCCTCTTTATTGTGTCGTTACATCTGTTATTATTGTTTTCGTTTCATTTTTATTCATTCATCATGTTTGAGATCAAAAGAAAAGTACGTAGACCATCAACAAGGTATTTAAAGCATCAAAATTCATTTAAATTTCCTTCATCTTTACCTTATCATTATAATCATGGTTTATTATCCCTATGTAACAAAATTAACATGGATCAATCGTCAAAATTTAAAAAAATTCACCGTCAACAACAAAGAAATAAACAAAACATCAATAATACTCAATCATCATGTCCCAAACAATTTCTTACTTATTTCCGTTATTGCTGTTATCATTTATGTTCGTTCACATGTGTATATTCCATTCCATCAAATACAATTCAAAATCACTATGTTTCATCAATATTTGCTCGACAAAATTGTTCGAGTACATCATCAATCAACTTATCCTACTATTATTGTTAAAAAATTTGAACGTTTTATTGATTTTATTTTATCAACAGATCATTTAAGTCGTTATATATTTGAACGACATTTCTGTGAAATTAAAACGAAAAAAATATTTTTTCCTAAATTAAATTTGTTTATTATATTATTATTATTTCTATTTCCTATAACGCTTGCATCTAAATTACCATCATCAACAAAATTTGATCTCCTCCTATTAACTAATCACACAGTCACATTTTCTTTTAATTTACCATTACGAAAATTACAATGGCATGCCGGATGTTGTTTACGGTCTAATCAAACAATGTGTGACTCAAGAACATATTCCCCAATATCAGGTCATAGTATCTATGTATCGAATGATACATCTAGTGGAACATTTTTATTCGATGGTGGAAGTCAATTAATTGATCATCGTCAATCATTCTCTACAACTGATTATTTCAATAATTATGATTTCCTTAATAATCAAACAGCATTTTGTCTACGTTATGATGCATTTCGTCATTTATCGTCAAATCCCTTAGCCATATTTACATATTGTATTGTTATAATTGGTATTATATTGAATTCCTTTGTATTTGTGGTTTTCATGTGTGGTACATTAAGACGATCGACATCATTTACTTTATTCGTTGCTTTAACAGTTTTTGATTTATTAAGTCTAGCATCAAGTCTATTTGCTTTATTATTTCGTACTGTAATGACTTATTTAACTAATTCAGCTATATTTTGTAAAATGTTTGGAATATTTTTCTTATACTTTCGTCAATGCTCATCAACAACATTATTATTAATTGCTATTGAACGTTGTATTGTTATTAAATATCCATTTTGTCGATATTTATTTGAAAAATATCGTTTACCAATTTTAGCCTTTATTATGCTTATATATGTTGTACCAATCCCATTTGATTTCGTATTTTATACAAGTGGTACATTACATTGTGAAGCATTTAATACATTACATGCTCGTCGTTATCAAATATTTCGTGGATTTTTTACTGTATTTTCATATGCAATTATACCATTTATAGGTATAGCTATAAGTAATTTATTAATTATAGTTGAATTAAAAAATTCAAAAAAACGTTTTATAATGAAAAATGACGATGGAACAATGACAAATTTTTCAACAAAGTATGTATTTTATTATTTTTGTTTTCTTTGAATTCTATTGTTAATGCATGATGATAATGATTAGATAAGAAGTTTTCTTCTTTTTTTTTTTCGTAACAAAATATTGAATATTATTCTAATTAAAGAAAAAAAAAATATTAATTTTAATCATATAGATTATTTATTAATTAATAATAAATTATTTTAATACGATTTTCTTGAAAAAATCTGTACAAATATCAAAATAGATTTACTGATTTTTTTTTCTTTTTTGCTCTATTTGTTTTTTATCTAGTTCCCCCGAAATACGAGGTACAACAGTTATGTTAATAGTTGCATCATTTGCATTTCTTATTTTACTTGGTCCATTTTATGTACATTGGTGTATAACATATATATTTTTTAACTATCGTCAATGTGAATTTACACGAAATCTATATGAAAATGTACAAGTATGTATGGGTGTATTTCATCCATATTTGACTGTTATTGAAAAAGGTATGCGTGAATCAAATCATGCTATTAATTTTATTTTATATATTGCAACATCAACACGTTTTCGTTCGGATTTTAAAAGTATATGTCGTCGTCTTTTTTATCGTATATTTGGTCCAGCAATATTATTTTTCTTTACACGTATATGTTTTTGTTGTACAGTACCATCATGTCTAGCTACACTTCAACAAAATGTGTCAGATACAATGGATGAAGAATTTTCATTTGAATTACGTCGAAAAAATCAAGCAGCTTATAAAACAGAACATTATTATACAAATTATGAACGACGACGAAAAACTCAATTACTTCAAGCGACATTTTCGGATCCTAATCCGTCAACAACAGCTATGAGATTATCACCTACAGTATCATTTAATGCATCACCCATCACTACACCTAAAACTGTCCGAACATTAACATGGAATCCCTATGATCCAATGATACGGCAAGCAGAAAATAAAAGACAAGCTGCACGTTTATCACAACATTTCACAAAAACAGGTGTTATTTAAAAAATTCTTTTTATTATTCATATTCGTGGCATAAAATTATATATACATATTTTTTTCTTGTGTTTTTATTTGTTCTTTAATTTTTTTTTTGTTTCTGAAATATCTACAGTAATGATCCAATCTTAAATTTTTGATTACTTTTATGATTCATGGTTCGCTAGTATCTATAGATGGTTATTAAGAGATGTTATATGACATGTTTAATAGTTCTATTAATTCTATGATTGACAAAGATAATTGCTATCTTCTAAATACTTCGACCAGCGAAAGAAGACGACAGAAAAAAATTGCATTGTTTTTCTATTTATATCATCTTACAACTGAATAACATAGTAAATGGATTCTGTCATAAAACTTCCAAGGATATCCTTATTCATACTTTTCTTCTATCAATTTTATGGGGAAATAAGTAGAGCAAAACAAAAAAAATTCATCATTAAAATGTTTCCAGGAAAACTTAGGTTAAATCAACAATTTTCAATGTATAATACCGATAAGGTTACCATTTTTGTTTTCTTGTCCATCATGTAAAGTGCTCTTGGTCAAATGATTTTCAAGGATATTCAAGTAGCTGTCCACTTCAAATGTATATATATATATAGAGAAGTAAATTTATGGAAGAAATTATTTCATTGACACTAAGTAAAGCATTTTCTTTTATTCTTTTGTATATATGTCAAGTAAACAACAACAATCGATCGATCGATCGTTTTTAATGAACAATAGAGTGAACGTTGATTTAACCATTTGATAATAATAACAAAAACAAACTTATAAGGTTTAGTTATCGTTCATTATTAATGAACATCTCATTATTCAAATAAAAGGAAAAAAAAAAGAAAGAAATTTTTTTAACTTAGATTTTAGTTGTCTAACCTTTTTGGATTATCTATCATTTTTCTATGCTAATATATTCGTTCTCATATATTGAGTCTCGCCGTATTTATCCGCTTTTTTCTTTTCGTTCATTCTCTTCATCACTATTCAATAGAAATAACATCCGGATTGAAGGAGCGGCATACTACTCTCATATATGTATACTCAAGTAGAAGAGTAAACATACAATTGAACACATCAAACCTATTCAGTCAACGGCAAGGCCATTCGATTGTTGTTTGTATTTGTGTGACGAAAAGAAAACGAATACGATTGAACAAGATAGCAAGTAGCAAAAAAAAAAAAGAAATATTTGTCTATCTCAGCTTATTGAAAAAAATTTTTTTTTTTTTAAATCAAATCATGTATGTACTCTGCTATCTTTTTATTATAATATTTGGCTTACAAATTTATCATGCAAAAATATTAAATGGTTGTCGATTTGTTAAAAAATTTTATCAAACTCATCCAAATATATTTGAACTTAATAAAAATCAAACATCATTAACTGTACGACCATTATATGCATTATCAAATCAATCATTTTCACCTATTAATCAATCACTTTCCATTGGAATCATTTATCGTTTTGCTAGTACATATTTAGTACCTATACCATTACTTTTTGAATGTCCAGAAAGTGAACAAATTTATACACCAAATGATTGTGAATTTACAATAGTTGATATTCGAGTAAGATGAAAACTATCCTAATGACAAATGATTATATTAAAGAAATTAAAAGAAATTAAAGAATAATTTTCTCTAATACGCAAATAGATAATTATCTAGTGTATAACAACAGGATGTGTCAATCAACATTCTTTTTTTATCATCAGCAATACCTCGATATATAATTTTGTTCTCAAATGAGTTTGATATACATGTAAAAAAATCTGCTCTATGTATATATATATAGTTTTTTAAAATATCTATAACATCTTAATTTTTTTGTGAGTTATTAGAAGAAATAAAAAAACATAAAACTTTCACTTTATTGATATTTATCTTTATTATAAAGATAAATTAGTATATACACTCAAATAAAATGTGCCACATATGTCATACATTGTGATACAATAAAGTGCGACACATTTTGAAAAAATAGTTCGAAATCAGTCTTGAGTATATTTATCATTTTTTTTTTCTGCATAAGCGAATAATTATTATTTATTCAATTTAATTCGAATTATTAGTATCTATTCTTAAAGGTCAAGTCGATTAGATCTAGTTGACTTGAGTTCGTTGAATCTTGATAAGATCGTTTCAAGGCTGGCCTTTATCAATCATTATCGATCGGTCTCTCAACATGCTCTTCACCAATAGCTAATCGAGAAATAATTTAGAAAAAAAGAAACATACAAAAACATATAAGCTCAATAGATTCAATTGAGTTGATTATATATGTAGTGTATGCGCAAGATGAAACAGTGAATGGATGTTAGTAGACAGATTACGACACATTTTTTTTTCATTATTTTGCAATAAATGGCGACCTTTAGGCCTTTACAATCAGACTGCGACATATTGTATATTTGCGTATGTCATTAATATCGACAGTTTTATCGCAATTAATGTAAAATTATTTGTAAATGAATGTATAAACAATTCAAGTGAATTTTTCATCAGAGTCTCTTAAAAATTTCTTCAAGAATCACGACAGGAAATCTTTGTGGATTTTTTTTTGAAATCTAGTGCGATAATTATAACTATTGTAAACTTTCATATATATAACATCGTTTATTGTTGTATTTTTATGAGTTTCTCAAAAGTGAGAGAGATGAATTTTTTTTCTCCGTCCGCGTCAATATAAAATATATTGTATTTTTTTCAATTATACTTATCAATGAAACTATAGTTGATATTAATCGCAATAAAAAAAAAACCAAATAATTAATATTATAAAATCATATTTACTGATGAAATTGTAGTTTGGATTGATCTAAATGAAAATACTATACTTACTATTGAAGATATTGTGGATTAAAATAATTTCTCTAATAAAATAAAATAAAACAAAACGGTCTTGTTTGTTTTCTTATTGATTGAAACTAATCAGACAGTAAATATTCAGTTCGAAGTTTCTATCAAATACCATGTCATATAATCTCAAGGATATTTTCAAAAAGTTTTTCTTTCGAATCATTAGATTTGATAGTTTTTTTACTCGATTTTCTTTTCGGATGAGTAGTTGTATTCAAACCAGATGCTCTCGTGACATTTTCTCTATTATGGAACTTAGTTAGGACTTCTAGCAATTATCAACTGATTACGAACATATTAATATTCGATGTAAATATTGTTTTTACCCCTAGTGTCAGTCATGTTGATGTTATAAGAGCAAATATTGTGCGAGTAACAGCTATGAATTTTTAAATAGATTGATTAGAAATATATGAGATTATCTCTTGCTTAACATATGTCACATAATAAATGCGACAAAATGTTCTCTTCTTTTTAGAGTACTTCTCAACACATTAAAGATTTCATTATTAGATCATTTGTTAGAGAATTTTCTGTTCTAAAAAATTATCATTTTTATTTTTGAAGTCTTTTTTTTTTTTGTCGACACAAAAGTTAAAAGATGAACACTTACTCAATTGTCAAACTATGACAGTTAAAAAAAAGCGACTGCAATGTTCTCAAAGATACGTGAAAAATCCTTTTTTTGGCAAAATTACATTCTACATCCGCCGACATGAGAACAAACATGTCATATCATCAAGTTTCGCTTTGAAAAATATCATTTTCAAGAATACGTTTTCAAATATCTGTAGGCGTTGTTTCAATTGCCTTTTTCTTCTGAACAACACTGACAACAAATATGAAAAGATCGTAAAAGTAAAGAATACGAAATTCTCTATCGAATGAGTCTAAAACAAAGTTACATTAATTCCACGTTTGTTCACAGTATCGCCGATATACCGCGATTCTTATAAGAACCGGTGTTAGCATTTATAACTTTCACTCCTACCTATAATCTGTTGCAATGATTGTTTTCTATCAAAATTCGAATTTTTTATTAGGAAGGATTCAAATTAACTGAGAAGAAAACATTTTCAGAATCTATTTCACTAATAAAAAATTTTTGCAACGTCATCTATAAAAAGAATTATCTCATAACTGGAGCCGATTTGGACTCTGTAATTTTGATATAATAGTTTCAAAAGAAGCGCCAGTAGTTTTCACATAGGAAGTCTCTAACATGTTGGAAAGTGCTCTAAAAAGAGGCAAACATTTTATTCTGTTTATTATGCGACACCGGTTATAGTTTAATATTTGTTTTACTTTTTACACATTTTAGTCTTTTCTTTTTCTAGGCTGATTTATCTGCTCGAACAACAGAATCAACACGTACAACAACTGTTCCACTTCATTTTCAAGAATATTCTTCATCAAATACATATTCATTACATGGTGCTTATTTTAAACAATCAACAATTGCTTTACAAAATTGTCGTTTAATGTCAAATGAAAAACTTCTTATATCAGATATATTTCATTTACGTATTGAATTTGAACAAACAATTGGTACAAAATGTTCTGAAAAATGTTTACATTCTCAATTATATGAATGTTCATCATTATCTCATACATGTCAATGTCGTTTAAGTGAATCTTCTATTGAAAAATTTGGTCATCTTTGTATTGATACAGAACTTGCATCAAATTGTTCTCATACACCAGAACGTTGTCGTCGTTTATGTCATATTCAAAAACAAATTCATACAAGTCAAATTGATCATTATTGTCAATGTCCATTAGGTACACGACGTATATTTTCAAATAATATATATCATTGTCAATTACCGAAATTAATTGAATGTGATAGTCAACTTTCAATAACAACTTGTCCTCAAAATTATATATGTCAAGAAAATCGTTGTGTACAAACATTGATATCACGTCGTATAAATGAATCAATGATACCATTACCATTTATATTAATTGGTTTACTTATTGGTTCTTTATTAATTATAATTATACTTATTATAGGTCTTTTAAAAATGCGTTCAGTAAAATGTGTTAAATTTGTTCATCCAAAAAATGTTTTATCAACACATTCAATTAATTCATCACCAGCAACAATAACACGTTTATCAACAGTACCATCATCATCATCACCTTGTTCAACATTATCATCATCATCAAAATCAACAAATAAAATAGTAGAAAAATATACAAAAATTGATTTATTTGAATGACATAATGGATTCTTTTTTCTTATTCAGTTTAATTGTAAATGCCTTTGGTTTTTTTTTTTCTTTATTTAAATAAAGACTTTTATACATACATGACGAGTGGTTCACGAATAATGAGACATATGAATATTTCCGTTTGTCAAGAACTGAAACCTATGATCAAAGGCAGTGTTCTAAGCTCATTTGATAGAGAATTTTTTGTTCTACAAAACTATCGATTTTCCTCTTCAAATAAATTTTTTCTGTCGCAGAAAAATCGAAAAAATTACTACAATCTTTCAGAAAACGAAATAATTATTAAAAATATGTTTAAATATTAGTTCTGTCGAAATTTAAAATATGCTGAAAGATATACATTCAAATGCTGTATTTCGCCATATTTCATCGTTTTAGAAAAAAAAAATAATTGTTTGAGCAAAAATTAGAGAACGACACAAAAGACTTTCTAGTAACTGTATACAATTATGGACAATCTAAAGGTTTTCGTTGTTTGATTTAAATGTTGCATCATTTTTGTTCTGAATTAAATTCTGCATGTCGTGATATAATAATAAATCGTTGATAGAGGAAGCTAACTAATACATCACTTAGAAACTTTGAGAGTATAGGGCATACAATGTTCTATCTATTGATGCTAACTAGTTTAGATTTAGCATCAAACTTGATGAGTACAAGCTTGCACAAATTGTTAGATATCTACAGAAGATCGTACAGTTGGATCGTGGATCAGATGTCAATCTTTTCAATTTTTCGTCGACAAGAGAAACTTATTTAAAAAAACCAAGTCCATATTTTTGTAGAATGAAAAATTCTCTAATAAATGAGTTTAGAATAGTATCTTTGAATAGTGTTTTTGTTCTTGAAAAACATAAATCTAAACTGGCTCATTATTTATGAGCTACCCAATGTATCATAAGAAAATATGCTAATGTCTTTTTTTTTAATCTTTATAACAAAAAACATTTGAAACATTTCCACACACTTTTCCTATTAAATACTACAATTATTATAAGAGAACAAATCATTATTTGTTTACTCTATTGTTATGTCAATGTTCTTCAAATACTGTATAATGTAAATATCTTGTAAATACAAGAAGATTAAAGACAGAAGTTTGTTTTTGGTACCAAGACAATTCTTTGTTAATGATCTAATCTAATACTAATTTATATTTATGTATTCATTGATGGAAAGATTTATTAAGTTAAGTTAGAAAAATGTCATGCAAAGACTATGAAAATTATTGGAGAGACTTCTCATAGCTAAACTTCGACTTTTCATCTCGAAATAGTATCATCATAATGAATCTTTTCATGACAAAACAAAATGAGATTGGTTTTTTTGTACTTAATAATTAATGTCAACGAGATAAAAAAAAAAGCGCTTAGATTCAAGATATTATCAAAGTAGTCGTGATGTTGTAAAAATCATTGATCACATCCAATTAGTTAGATTTTAAATGTATAATATAAGATGTGATAGTCTTTAAACCAATAGGCTTTGTAAGATAAATCGGAAGATTTATAGAAAGAAATTCATTAAAAGTTTTTTTTCTTTTCTTATAAAGTCAAAGCTACTTTTCATTAGTGAACACTAGGCTTCATTCATCTTCTCCAAGTATTTTCTTGCATGTCAGAAGACTTAATCTATGGAATGAAACAAAAGAAAAATGGATTGTTGATTGCTTTTGCATGTAGATCAAGAATCGAAGTGTAGCCATAAGAAATATTTTCAGCAACTTCTATATATTTCTTGCATTGCGTATTTCAAATTTTACTTAATAAACCATTGTACCAAAGAAAAAACAATATACATAAATATAAATAATTATTCGATTAGGTCATTGCGATGAGTTGCACAGTCACTAATTATTTTACTATGCTATCTAATTTTCTGTAAGAAATAGTCAATAACAAAATTGAATAATTTTCCGACTCAATTATTTTGAAGCATCTTTTTTTCTTTGGAAGTCGGAAGTTTTCCTTCTTCTGTACATACATATGATTAGAAATTGATTTATTTTTGCAAACAACGCTACTTATCATTCAATAATAAAACGAATTAGAAAGATGAAAGGTATTAAATAATAAGACATAATTAAAAATCAGATCGGTGGAAAATAAGATTAGACGATGTATACAACTGGAAATTTAATTTTACAAAAGAACTGCAATCCCCTCATGTATAATATCTTAAGAGGCTCGTAATCTTATCTTATTTTAGAACAAACAACTAACAAGTATGATATAATTATTTTCGGATATGTAAAATATAAGATAGTTTAGAATTATTATTATTATTTTTTTTTGCTATTGTTTATTTCGAATACAAATGATCTTTTCAGCTATTTTATTGTACAAAAAAACCCTTTTTCTTTTCTATACATTTTCTTTAACCGTGACCTTAGTATAGGACAAGAAAAAAAAAGAAATATAAATTGCGGGGAAAAAATGTTTTTTTTTTCTCGTATGATGTAACTCAATGCCTTGGGTCAAAACGAACAGGAAAAGAAACGAACGATAAAACAACATTTTATAATAGAAAAAAAAAAGAAATGCGTCAAATCTGTTAGATGCAATAAAAACAAATAACTATTATCAAGAAATATTTTCATTGAAAAATGTTATCACAACCTCTAAGTTCTTACAAAGTACTTGATCTATCACGTGTACGTGCTGGACCAACAGCAGTTCGACAGTTAAGTGATTGGGGCGCTCAAGTAATTAAGATTGAAATGCCAAAAGATAATACCAATGAAGATAATGATGAAACAGATACATCCGATTATCAAAATATTCAACGTAATAAACGTTCAATAGCAATTAATCTTAAACATAGTGATGGATTAAATATATTAAAACAACTTGTTAGTACAACTGATATATTCATTGAAAGTTTTCGACCCGATGTTAAACATCGTCTTGGTATTGATTATGAAGCATTACGTCAAATTAATCCACGATTAATTTATGCATCTATATCAGGATTTGGTCAAACAGGTCCATATAAAAATCGACCTGGCTATGATCAAATTGTACAAGGTAAATTAATAAATACGAAAAACATAATAAATTAAGTTTTCCTTTTTTTCTTTTGTATCTATTAAGGTATGGCTGGTCTTATGTCTGTAACAGGTTTACCTGGTCAAGGACCAGTTCGTGCTGGTATTCCTATAGCTGATCTTTCAACTGGTTTACTTCTTGCCAATGGCATATTAATTGCTCTATTGGAACGTCATTCATCAGGCCAAGGTCAATGGATTGAAACATCGTTACTTGCCGCACAAATTTTTATGTTAGATTTACAAGCCGCTCGATATCTTGTCGATGGTCAAATACCAACACAAGCTGGTAATCATCATCCAACAACAATACCAACAGGTACTTTTCGTACACTTGATGGACATGTAACAATAGCTGCATCTGACTCAGGAGAATTTCGAAATTTATGTAAAATATTAAATATGGAAAATTTATTATTAAATCCTGATTATCTTACTATTGAAAAACGTTCTATTAATCGTGAACAATTAAATAATGAATTAGAAAAAGTTTTCTGTACGAAATCAACTGATTATTGGATAAATGAATTAAATAAAGCAAGTATTGCATGTGGACCAATTAATCGTATTGATGAAACATTTGCTGATCCACAAGTAAAACATTTACAATTAACAACTCAAATAGAACATCCAAAACGTGGTATGATTGAACTTGTTGGACAACCAATAACAATGAGTCGATCTCAATGGTTAATTCATCGAATAGCACCACGATGTGGAGAACATACAAGAGAAATTCTTAATGAACTCGGATATGAAACGAATGAAATCGATGATCTTATCAGTCGACATGTTGTCTATGTTTCTTCTTCATCTGTTAAATGAATCCAATTGATCGTATATTTTGTTCGACTATAAAAGTCTCTATCAAAGTTTTTCTTTTTGCTCTTGTTCTTTTTTTCTTCTTCTTTCTCTCTCTCTCTCTCTGTATTTCATCGAGAATAAACGAAACGGAGATGATAATATTGTTACGGAGGATGATCCTGACAGTCTTCTTCACGTCAACAACAATTGTGCCGCCAGTCACTATTGCCGTTCTTTTTTCTTCTTCTTATAGTCGACATAAATGCAAATCAGTCTTCTTTACTCAAACATATAGAATACATCGTAAAAGATGATGACGGATAAGATAGTGTTGCTGAGTAACAAATGACGCTGATTTAACCTTCACCGATCAGATGCTACTTATTCTCTTAACTAATGATAATGAACGTGTATATAGACTTATGGCTAATCAAGAATACATTTATGTATTGGTGATGACATGACTGAATCAACGGACACTACAACAAGTATGTTGCCATTGCTCTTTTAAACATCTATATTCACACATACTCCTTCTTTCTCTCACGTGCTCTCTTTCTCTTTTTTCTGATTTAAAACATTAGATTTCATTTTGATGAGTGCTTGCGTGTGTGATCAATACCGCCATTCACTTATTCTGTTGTGCCAGCAGCATGCGAATGAAACCTAACAAGTTGCACCGCTTACATATATACATATACCACCTTTGTTTTATATTTCTTCACTTATTTTTCTATAAGTACAAAATCAGGTTACTAGTAAATGTAAAGCATTTTGAGTGTTGTTGTTGTATGTTGGAGAACAAAATAAAGGAAATGTTTTTGCTCATCTCATTTTCATTCTTCTTCTTTTTGTATTGTTTGATTAAAAGAATAAAAAAGAAAAGGGTAAGATAATGTTTCGTTTCTTATCGCTCTTATTCATCCTCATCTATTCTTATGTTCTTCACTGAGCACACATTATTGCACATGCACCTTATGTCTTATATCATCTTTTCAATGATTTAGATTATAGACAAAGTGATCATAATAGCGATGATGATCCAATCGATTGGTTTATGGTATTAAACCATCAAAAAGAACATATTGGTGATGATTTTGGACTGTTTGATGACGATGACGATAATCTAACCTTATTTGGTAAGATAATAATAACGATTAAATTAGCAAAAAAAAAGAAATCTAAAATTCTAATCGAATATCCATCATTTTATTTTATGCACGAATAAAGAAATGTAATTTGTCTTATTAAATACGTATATAAGTACATACATAAAATTATATGCATTAACTGCTAGTCATATTCGTTTACATCTTTCCACTCGTTTTCTTTTTCTAATTTAATCTTTCTTTTCAAAGTAATATCATGTTTTGTATTTAATATATAGATTTGAAATCTATACCTAAACCTGATCATGATTTAAGTGTATTCGATGAATTAGAACATCAATGTGATGCTGTTTTACTTGCAACAAACTTTCAACAAAAAAAAACAATATCCAAAATTAATAATAATAATTCTTATTTATCCAGTCAAATGACAACAACAATGATGAATGATTATGAACGACGTTTTGAATGTTCACTTCAAAAATTAACTATACCTTCATGGTATATGGATCCTGTTTCATCACCTAAAATAGCAAGTAAACCAATCATTATTTCAACAAATCATGTTAGTAAAGAATCTCATCGTACTCCGGAAATAGTTCATGTACAACGTCCACGTAGTTATCGTTCATGTCGTTCATCATTAGGAACATCACCAACACCATCCGTACATTCTTGGCATCCAAATCATATAATGGATGGTATGAACTTTTCTTCCGTATTACCTTCATCGCCATATACTGCTTTTCGTCGACATAATAAATATGAAAAGGGTATTGAACGTGTAATAAAATCAAGTCGTTGGTATCAACCAACACAATTTGTTACTGAAAAGAAAAATAAGCATTTCAGTAAGTTTATATATATATATATACATTTTTTTAAATCAAACGATATTATCATTCTATTTTAGTTTAACTGAAAATAATGAGAAAGATAGTTGATATTTTGTATTTCTTACAAAGATAATCGAACCATATATGATTTCTTTTGATTAACAGATTTTTGTTAGAAGTTTCTATGCATGATAGATATTCTTAATAGAGATCCTTATCAACCAGAAAAAGAGAGATTCTTTTCGTTAGTCTTGCTTTTTATATTTTATTATTCTGGTGTAAATTGATACATTATTATATATAGAAAACAGATTTAAAAAAGAAGAGTAAATATTTTATATTGTTTAATTCAGTGATTAAAACTAAGTGTTACTTCATATAAATGACTTTTGTTAAATGAAAAGATTTATTCTAAGTTTTCTTCTTTTTTTTTTTTGCTATCGCAGGAGATTAGTTTTGTAAAGTATGTATGCATCAATATGATGACGCTTCCTGAAACAACTAGATATGATTCCTTGTATTGCAATTGCTTAAGTGACCTTGCCTTTGGCAGTTATATGTATATATATATATATATATCACATTTGTTTGTCTTCCCATAATACATTAGTAAGTGGAAATAGTAACAGTCATAGGCGAGCCAACGTCACGTTGTTTTCTCATAATGTTCTTTTTTTTCTTAGTTGGCTTCTATTTCTCATTAGATACGTTGATTGAAAACAAAGATCTGACAGTAAACTTTTAGCAAATGAAAAAGAAAAAGAACATTATAAGCTTAGTTGTAATAAACAATAGTATTTCATACACATTGTCGTATGGTATTCATCCAATCAGATGGCTTTATCAAATTGATAAAGTAATAAACAATTATTTTCATGTGTCCCATTACATGAAGGTGTAATAATAAAAAAAAAACTCGTTAAATATGTGAACCAATCATGTATTCTTTCTTTCTCAAGGACTATTGATTCATGAAATAACTTATTCTTCTTTTTTCTTTTTTTGTTCTTCTACAGGTCCTACAAAAATATCATGCAATCAACAAGAAAAATTGAATTATAATCATTATGATATACCAAAAGTTTGCTATGCTGAAAAAGATAATAATTCCAATGAAATTAAACAATGTTTCAGTCCTGATAAAAGCGTAATTTCTGGATCATGTATTCAAGCACAATCAAAATATTTGATTAATGATATCGATTTTGACGAGTTTGAAAACACGATTACTAGAAAGCAAAAAAGCAATAACAAGGGCAATAGCTCGATAACGAACGATAAGGTTAGAACGCGCATTCCTATGCATGCCTATGTCATTTTTCTTCTCCTGGTTTTTTTTCGCTTCTGCATACTCTACTAGTAATATATATATATAAAGAACAAGATAAAAGGAGGGGCAAAAAAAAAAGTATTTTTCTTGTTGTTGTTGTTGTTGTTGTTTTGCCATTCATCTACTAGTAGTACCACATATCATCGACTGTTTTGTCTTTTAGCAACAGGACAAAAATATTCAATCAAATGAATTTAAAACAATGTCTTTAACAAAGTAAGAAAAATTAATTTTTAATTATATTTAGCTTGTTAATATGTCAGATTATATACGTTAATGAATTGTTAATCTTTTGTGAATGACGCAAAAACAAAGACAATTGTATATTCATCGATTGAGCTATTCACATAGAACAAAAAGTAATTAAGAAACACATATAAAAAAAGAATCATAATGAGTAATCTCATGTTTGTCATTGAATCAATCGAAACAATTAATTTTTTGAAGAGAAATTTGGTTATGTTTTTTTTTTCTAGTGAGAAAAAAAGATCTTTTGGTTGTATCGAATTAGAAGAAGTAACCGATGACGAAGAAAACGATAAACAATTGTCAACTAATAACATAAATAACCCATCAACTGTAGAAATTATTAATAATAAAGAAAATGAAAGAAATACATTATTAGAACATATTGCTAATAATTTAGTCGATTCTATATTAACTGATGCATTACTCTCAGAAAAACTTGAACATGATAATGATGATGATGATGATGATGATGATACAAATACGGGTGTTAGAGAATTATCTGATGATGAAAATGGTCTTCGTGAGTTGGATGAAAATGATTTGAGTGGTACAGATGAATTTATTGTTTTTGCAACACAAGCAGAAGCATCTGATCATGATGATGATAATGATAATGATAATAATAATCAAATATTATCAGCTGTACCTCGAGGTAGTCTTAATCGATTATATACATTCTCTAGAACAAATGATGATACAACAATTAATTCAAAAACACAATCTTCTAATCAAGTATGTATGAAAATAAAGCAAAAACAAAAAATTGCTTCAATCTAATGACGATTTTTTTTTTCTCATATATCCTCTAAAATGCTTGTAGTTCTAGTATAAATACACTTATTAGAAAATTAAAAAAAAAAATTCGAGCGTATGGTAAGTAATCTTCGAACACAATCAACTATCAATTCTCTATTTGCTTTCTGTCTTGTTTGGCGTGTGCGTATATCAAAGCCATGTGTATTTCTCCCAAGGATTTCTATTGATTTATCTGGTCTACGTGTCAAACTAATATAATCAGCAAGTTCTATCAAAGAGAAAGAGAAAATCTAGATAATAAAGGATTTACTTTCTTCAAGTAGTTTTCTTTTGTTTATGAATATGATTTTATTCTTATTGCTTATACAATCGTTATCGAAGCTTTCTACCTCCGTATGTCATTGGTGATTAGTGCCAACAACTTCAAGGTAGAATTTTTCTTGCTTACATACCTTTATTTATATATATATATATTGATGAAGACTGTTGTCTACATAACCAGATCAATAGTTTATATAAAAAGATGGAAAGAATATAAGCAAAAAAAAAAAAGACACAGAGAACGTATACACTGCTTTTTTTGTTGTGAAATATAAAACTCTACCATATTTATTCATTTTTGTCCTCGAATAGATCATATTTCGTTATATTGTCATTTTCTTTATTTTCTAAGAAAAAAAGTCATTCACATTGTTCTTATTTATTTTTGTTTCTTTATAGGACTCTACAACATCAGAACTAATGATTGTTGACAAGGATATATTAAGAACTAATTCTCTTTCGAATATAGATTCAAACCAACCAGTTAATACAATGATTAATTCTGATGATTATAATAATAGTTCTAATACTTCATCTCCTATATATCGTTCACATATACAAAAACGACATATTAATTTAGGTCGATATTATGATGGAATGTTACGAGCTACAAATAGTCAAATACCAACACATGATTTACGTCCTAATCTTGCTTTGAATAATACAGATAAAACCCTATCATCTGAAGGCGTTAATGAAGAAACTGTACGTCAAGGAAGAATTTTACTTAATAGTATACCAAACGCTATTGATATTAAAAATGAATCAACTGAAAATGTTCAAAATGCGTAAGATTTTTGTATTTTTCTTTTGTTATATATTTAATTTTGTTTTTCTATTAAATAGATCAATGCCTACTTCATCAATATTGAAAAATACTCGATTTGCATTAACAGATGAAATCGATGAAAAAAAATCTAATGATCATATATTAAAAGTAGAAGAAAAAAATGAAATTTCTTCAAAAAAAATTATTACAACAACAATAACAGAAGAATATCGTCGAATACAAAGACAAATTATTGAAGAATTTACTAACGGTATTTTTCATAGTTTTAAATTATTCTTTAGACAAAAAAAAAAAAAGAAATTTTTTTTTTCTCAATAGAGTTCAAGGATAAAATATGTCAAGATTTTGATTATTCAAAACAACAAGAACAATATCATATTCAACAATCATTAATACCATCTGCTTCAATAAATGATCAATCACCATATCAATTATTATCAGAATGTTATTCAGGTTATTCTTTTATTCGAAGTGATTTTTTAACGCCAGTAACAACTCCATTACGATTAAATGTTTCATCATTACAATCGACAACTGATGAAGCTTATGAATCTGAACCAACAACAATATCACCACGTTCACCAACAATAAGTTCATCACCAACTACAACAATAGCCCATGTCCATCCGAATCTTATACATGAATTTGAATATCCATCACCACCACCACCTGTACCTGATCGACGTCTTAAACCAGCTCATTTACGTCAACCACCTCCTGTAAAACCTCGCTCTCGTCAACAACAACAAAAGGAATCAAATGATTATAGTAAAATAGATAAAACACAAATTTCACCATTAACAACTATTCAACATATAATGGTATCAACACCAAATGATTCAACATCATCTTCAATACGAACATTAAGTAGTAGACATTATTGTGGTTCATTACCTTTATCTAGTGAACCTGTAACATCGTCGGAATCTCCAACAAAATTAAAAACAAATGAAATTTCAAGACAAGATAGTAAAATAGACAATGCTTTAAATTCATCAACGAATAATGATAATGATCAAAAAACTATATTAAGAAAATCAACTTCATCATCCTTAAATAGAAACAAACCAAAAAAACCATCATCGACATATTTTGATGAAGCAACAAATGGTTTAGCTATTCGATTACCAGCACCCATGTCAAAAGGACAAGATTCAACAAATAAACAAAATCTCAATAGGTTAGTTCTTCCTATAGGCGCAAAAAACACTAAAGAAATTGATAAATAACTTTTAAGTACTCATTTATGACGGATATGCATGTATTTTTCAATTTTCTGCATTTGATTAAATGATTCGTATCCTTCATTGTTAATAAGAAGCATTAGTTTTTGACGAGTAGTATAGGTCAAACAAATACATACGTAAATGAAGCAATATAACATTCTAAACAATACAATATTGCAATCATATATTTGTATGATCGCATGCGAAGAAATACGGTTGTTTATGCAAGGCAAAATACTGATTAATTTCTTTTTATCGTAGATAATCATCTTTCTTCATACAGTTATATCGCGACAAATAAACTATTATATATGACTTCCATATATTTCAATTTTGTCAATGAAAAATTTTTCAATTATTATATGTTAATGTGATACAATCAAATGATGATCTATATTTTTTTTTTCTAGGTCATCAAATCTATCGTCTAGCAAGCAAGTCGATGGAATGATAAAAAGACGACCGATATCGGAAAATGTATGTATATCTATTTTAATATTTCATTTTTTCAAACTAATCATTTTTTTTTGTAGCTTCATTTGGATCGACCATCTATTTATGAAACGTCGGTCTGAAATGTTTTTTTCGTTGTACAATGTATGTAAATTTTGGAATGTTATTTTGTTTTGGCTTCAATACCACTATGTGGCAAATAAAAATATTGATCATTATTCAGTTTTTTTAGCAATCAATCCTATGTTGGTTTTTCATTTTTCTTCTTTCTTTTTAACTATAGATGATTGATTTTTTATTAATATTTTCTGTGTCAAGTATGCATAGATGATTAAATGTGTGTGTGTGCGCGCTTGTATGATTTCTTTTTCTTTTTTTAATAACATACAGAGTTTTCTACACTGATGATTATCAAACATGACAAAGAACTAAATGCAACAGATAAAAGAAAATGGTTTGATGTTTCTCTGCAGCTTAGAATAAGGTTATGTTGATCTATTAGAAGATACTAATTAAAGCCAGCAATGATGTGCAACAAGATATATGATGCTGTCATAATTGTGTATAGTTGTAGAAAAACATCTGTCGATCGATATTGAACATTGTACAATAAGCAAATTGAATAAAAATGAATGAACTCTTTTATAGTTAATGTTTACGACTGACATCTATGTAAATGCATGAAATATACTAAATAATTAATTTTTTTTTGAAAATAAAATTTAAAATGAGCTAATTACATCATTATTGATTAATGATAGATGAAAATTAATTCATAGCAATGAATAAATTGTCTAGACAATTAAATTTCTATGATAGGAATCATGGTTGATTGTAATCAATACAAAACTAAAAATAAATTGTTTCTTTTTAATTGAAAAATTTGTTTTTCTAAGAAAAAATAACAAAATTATATCCATTCTATAATACGTCATTAACATTAAAAAACAAACTGAATAGAAATGTCTGTCTACGATAGTAAAGCTAATTATCATCCAGTATCAGCTTTACCTGGTAGTTTACCTAATGGTAAATGAATAAGTAATTTCCTTTATCTCATATATGTGCTTTTGTATATTATATAGGATCTTATCTTTTACCTGGTAATGGTTATTACAGGTATATATATATATAAAGAAATCTTTTAATGCTCTAATATTTGTTTGTTTAAATATGAAAATAGTGTTGAAGGACGTTTACCTCGAATTCGTTATGGCACTCAAAAATTTCTAGATGATCCAAAATATGCTTATTCACAAAGTTATCGTATTGATGCAATGCAAGCATTGCGTAATGCAAAAAAAGGTTTCGTGAATTTTTATATTTTTGAACTGTTATATAATTATTTAAAATAGGCACTAGTTTACCACGATATTATTCATATTATCCTCATTTTGAAGCCACACGTGAACGACATATATTTGTACCAAAACATTTTCCTAATGAAAATCCATCATGTTATGAACATAAAGGTTTAAAATATTTTAAAGAAGTATAAATATAGAAAACAAAAAAAACAAATTATGTTTTTCAAAAATTTATTTTCGATATTTTGTTTTTAGCAAGCTTCAAATTCAGGAACTTATGCACTTCGAAGTGTTAATAGTTTACCAGCGTTAGATTATGTTACTATACCAAAATCTGATCAACATGATGAAATTTATCGAACATATCAAGCGAAAATGCCTTAGTAAGTTTATTGATTATTCAAAAGAAATGAGTAAAATAATCAATTTAATTTTCTTAGTGACATGATGGTATTACGTGATGAACAAATCTATAAAACACCATATTCAAAAGATTGTATGACACGTAGTAAATCATTTATTACAAGTACAACACTTGTACCACGAGGATCTTAAACAAATATAATCTGATAGTATAAACTTTCTTAACTTACCCGATGATATATATTTTTTTAAGATTCTTCTTTTTATTTTTTGATTTATTCAAATAAACTATATTTTATCACTTATATTAGAAATGAAACATATACTTCTTTTGAATGAAAATGAAATGAAGAACATGTAATGTTGAATACCTATTGAAAAAAGGATTACATTGAAGATTCATATAGGCATTGACATAAAATATGTCGCATGTGTCGACCTTGACGGTCATATTATAATGTGACACGAGTTGCTTGTTGCGACACATTTCGGAAGTTTGGTTTAACTTTATGATTCAGCCGGTAAAAAAACCGATCGGTTTCACAACTTAGATCGAATGAAACTTGCCGATCCCGCTGCAAGTGTGCTTTCGACACACATGTCATTTACATATTTAGAATATGACCCATTCAGATTGTGACGCATTTTACTCTAGTGTGCACTTGTGAAGACATGGCACTTAATTGTACGATGAAGAAAAGCAGTGTAGATCGGTACTGTTCAGTCAAATATTATTTCTGCATTTCAAAGAACAGCGAATGATTATTGATTTGAATTTCATATTGTCTTTTTGTTTCGTAATATAACCTCTAGTCTCTTAACAAACGTTTCTTTGAAGTAGCTAGATGGTATTTGAGTTTCATTCTGTTAGAAAATACGATGTGAATGTACGAATGTCGATCCTCAATAGAATTATTTCTACGATTTATCACAAAATACTTCTGCCTAAAAGATATTTACGTTTTACTCGAATCAAACTTTTATTGTCACGATAAATTGGAAAAATTATTTGTCAATTAATCAACTGATCGAAAGGTGTGGATGAAGGAAATATCCACGGTTCAACCACAAAAAGTAAGTTATGTCTTTACACTTCTGGATGTGTTCGAAAAACTTTCTTTGTCCACAAATAAAAACAGTCTTTTCACTTTCAATCTTTTTTCTCACGATATGATCACAAATAGTATGCATTTACACTAATAAAAAATATATTGCATGTGTCGTATATGGCGACACATTTCTCCCGGCAAACTAACAACACAATATGAAAGTGAAGTTCGAATTTACCCTTCAGCATGAATATTATTGCTTTGTTCTGAAAAATCGAATAATTTTTATTTTTCTAGTTTAATTTGAATTCTTAGTACCTACCTGGTAAAAAGATATGCGCGAAAATACATATGTTCAGTATATTTAATTGCTTTGTTTATATGTCATCGTATGCGCAAAACAAGACGATAAGTGACTAGCCAATATACAATGACATATTATATTTTAGTGTGTTGACTGAATACAATGCAAGAATTCAAACTTATCTCTGATGGAAAATATTGAATATTGTTTCGTATTTTTTTTCCGAAATAAAGATCATCGCGAAAATTGATTTTATTTTTATTTCTTAGGTGATTTGTTACGATACTCGTATATGACTCGATTACGACTAAGATCACATAATCGTACATGATAGAATTTTGCGAGATTAGATGCTTATGAATCAATTACCATGGTGAGACGAAATGAGGGTGTAGGTTTGACTAAAAGAAGAAGAATGTCCACACTCACAGCTACACTCATCTTTGCTAATTTTTTTTTTATGATTTTTTTGTGTTATAAGTTAAGAAAAGAATAGACATGATTGACCAAACTAATAAACTCAAAGTATTGGGTGCTGTGGACATGTTGAAGTCGCAACATTCGATATTTCAGGTTTTTATAGTTTAATTACTAATGTAAAAGAACACTTTGCATGAAATTTGTTTTTATCCAATCAAGTCATTTTTTAGTCAGTGAATCTAGAAGATTTCTCTTTCATTTTGCACATCATAAGTGTCTCATTAGTTATGATGATATCTTCTCGAAATTTAATAGTATTGAATTGCCAAGACTTCTTGTTTTGCTAATTGAAATCTATTGATTATCAATTCGAGTATTTATTGTCATTTCTGTTTGATAGATATATTGGACACATGTACTTGTTTTAAATTAATAAATCATTATAGGTAAAGTAAGAAAATATATTATGATTAAATAGCATTAGTTACATCTTTAAGAACAAATAAAAGCTACTTCTATTGATATGATTAAATTCTTTCAGATCTCTTGACTGAAGTTATGTTCTTTGTCTTTCTGAAGAATAAGTGTAATCTGTATGTGAATTATTCTTTATGTCACATCAGAAAAGAACGCACTGACGAAGTAACAAGAAGGATATTTTAAGTTCAAGACGTTTTTTAAACTACAAATTCATCTACTTTGCCTAATTTACTATTAAGATTCGAGAAGATATCACAATTAATATGATACTAATAATGTAAAACTTTTAAACAAGTATTTTTTTTTACATTCTCGGAGTCAAAAACTTAATTAAGTGTACAACGAAAGGCTTCATAAAAATTGCCCTTTTATATTGATAACTAGAATTTGAATACCTTATAAATCAAATGTTTCGATCCGAAAATCCCTAAGATACTTCAAATATGTTAGTTTTGATGATGAGAATGTGTGTTTGACCTCAATATGTTTAATATTATTAAGTTATAAAACAAAGCCAATCATTTACAACTATATTAACTTCGGTTTAAATTCTAATTTAATCTCTTCATCAAATAATATTACATGAAATTTGTTTTTAAATTAGGTTATCAACAACATAAATGCTATGGCTCAATTATTCCAATTTTTTATGAAAGTCTTACATTTTCATACAAAAACATCTCAATTGTTGTACTCTGCTTGATAAGAACAATTAAAGTTACCCGAAAAACAAAGAACAAAAAGCATTCTCATTGAAGAAGAAATGATCGGATTATGCTTCTTTTTTTCGAATTCTTAAGTGTCGCAAGGAGAACCAATGTTACTATTTGTTATTCTTCGCTGCATATTGAAATCTTTCTATCAGTCGCTTCGTTACCAAGACACATCGAAAAATAAAAACAAAAAGAACAAGATAAGAAGAACAGATTCTGTCTAAAAGCGTGGTTTTTCCAGTAACAATAAAATTATTTTTAAGTGGTCGACATAGATCGTTTACAGTTTTATTGTTATTGGTTTCGAAAAAAGAAGTAACTAAATATAAGTGTGTAATTTCAAATCATAATTTTAAATATGCTACTATTCATTTTAAAATGAACAAGAAAAATAAAGAAATTGATTTAAATTTAGATGATGGTGAGTCTAGTAGAATTTGTCAAACATTATATGATTTTATATTAAATATCGATAGGTAAAATTTTAAAAAAATATTAGAAAAATTTATTATTTGTCAATAAATACTTTGATTCATTCAAGGCTAAAGTTTATTTGTATTAAATTCATATGAGATGAAGACCAAGAATTTAAATACAATCATAAATGAATTTTTCAACATGACTATTAATAAATTTTAAAGTGTAAGTTTAAAACAATAAAAAGAAAACGATGCTTGCTTATTGAGAAAAATAAACTTTGATAATTCAGAGTAGAGTTTACATCAAGTTTGACACATAAGATTAATTCAATTTGATATTTGATAAATTATTTCTATTCATGTTTTATTTTCTTTCATCTATAGACGATTATTCTGTGTTGGTAAAGTCATCGTTGAAAAATATGAATAATAATGCAGAGTATAATTTAACAACAGAATTGAATAGTTAGTATCATTGACGATTATTTACATGCTATTTATAAATTTTCTGTGTTTATGTCTGCAGAAACCGAAAAATATTGTGCCAAACAATTTGATAAGTTGTGTTCTGATGTGTCCGATTTCTACAATAGTGTAACAAAGAGTGCGTCTAACAACATTGAACAATCTGATGATTCTTCTGTTGATCAATCAGTTAACAACGAGCAAGGTTCAGTAATTGCTGCTAATGTTCGAGTTAAAAGTATGTCGTTTTCAATAATTTTATCAATTCTTTCTGAATGTATTCTCGTTTATAAACATCAATGAAAACATGATTGAAATAGTACAAAGACAATAAAGTTACAGCTTAAAAGAATTTTTTCTTATTATTAGATACTATTTCTCGGATATAGATGTACTGAGTTAACCTTTTCTTAACATTGTTCTTGTATTAACTTACATTTTTTCTCATCTTTAATTCTACTCTACGTTGTATGACAGGATTACTTTAGATGACGTTATTTTCCAATCTACCATTCCATTGAGAAAAAAATTATCATCATATCGAATTAATGGATTTAAATAGATTAAATGAGAATGTCAGTGCACGGCTTCTGATATCGGTATGATTTTGAAGTGATGATCAGGATTGTTAGAGTATTCGTTTCACCTCATCCTGATTTACACCCTCATTTCTTACATTCTTACAACCTTCTCACCCAGAATTTGTAACTGATAAACTATTATTATTATCAATCATTGTTTATTCTTCTTTTCATTACAGTAGATATTCATCGGTTGGTATACATAATGCATCCAATTCTGAACATTTTTCGTATCTACATGAAAAGCGACTTTACTCATGGAAACATCAGAACAGAAATTCCGAAGCTAAAAGACTGTTTGGGCAATGCACCACTATATTTTGGTGTAAGTTGAGACATTGATAATAATAATTGATTTTCGATCGACTATTTTTAGCCAATTTCAGCATTTTCCAATGCTCATGTTGAATTTACATTAGTATTCAAAGGTCCTGATGGATGTTTTTATTTTGGCCCTTATGCATTTGTTCATAGCACTAATACAGGTTTTAAAACGGAACATTCTACTGTTTTTGATTTGGAAAAAGATGCGATTATCAATGACGAATTTTTCTCGTAAGCAAACAGTTTATATCTAAGAATCTAAGAGTTTACTTCATTTAATTTTAGCTTCAATATTGTCATTTGCAAATTACAAAATAACATATTCAAATCTAAAGATGAACAACAGAATGACATATGTGTAATTAGACGGTTTCCTTGTGGTATAATAAACATTTTGAAATCTTGGAATCATTATAACATAGATGTAAATATACATTACATCTGTAGGTACTGTGATTAATCTCGATCATGAAATTCTATTATCACGGGGAATAAATGAAAAGAAAAAGAAGATGAACAAAAATACTAAACATGTACCATGTACCAAATTGGTCGAACATCTTAAAGTATATATTATACATATCATCGTTCGTCGCACTCATTGGGATCCTCATAAAAAAGAATTTGTGCCGGAGCCAACAATTTTATTCTGTTCGAATGCTTTCACACCAGATAAATTACAAAGTGATTATCCTATATTTATATATACTATTTTATATCAAATATTTTTAACTTAGCTAATGCTTCAGTTCGAGTGCATGAATATGATTACAGCCCAAATAAATTACGGATTAAACAATTGATACTTTCACGAATTTCATCACTTCAAAATATCAATCAATATTATTTGAAAGTATCATATGTTGTAAGTTCTCGCTACCTATTCTTTGAATCACTGCTCATTTTGTTTTGAAAAGATTCCAGAAATGTATAAATGTACAGCGTTGAAAAAGAAATATTTAAAAGCTATAATACTCACTGACAATGAACAAGAGTCACACATTCATCCAAACTATAAGTTTATAATTGATGAAGAATCAGTTGATTCAATATTAATTCATGTTGATCAATATGAACCTACGTAAGTGTATCTGTAATTTTATTTTCATATCGATAATTGTAAGAGAACTTATGTAAAATAGAAAAAAGGAAAACTCATCAAAATAAAAGAACCGAATTTTTTTTTTATTGTGCTCTCGTTACTTTTTTGTGTAATATCTACAGATTGTATTTTTTGTAGTGTAATGTTCAACATTACCAAACGTACTGTCGAGGAATGTGAAATCGATTTCATATTAAATCAAAGTCTTCCAGTTTCGTCTTCGACTAGTCCAAGTACGTAAACTTTTCTTTTAAATACCTGCGTTCATCTGTTCTTCATCTTTCTTCTATTTACAGCGGTTCGGACGATAACATTGGATAATTCTAGCATGAATACTTTTCGAGTACAGTTGCAACTATGTGATTACTCAAACAATAATGTTGTTACATATCCAAAATCAACTGTTATATCCGATCCAGTAATTGATGGCGAGTTTTGTTGCTTAATTTACATTATTTATAATTTAAACTTTACTTACAGATTTTACTTCTTCTGAAGAAAATATTGCTTCTCCATCGCCAGTAAATGACAACTTAACAGAGGCTAGTCGAGATCAATCATCAGCACATATAAAACGGTCATTCGAGAAAGAACCTCATGAACGTACTAGGTGAGTTTTTTCTTAATTGTTTTGGTATCATATTAACTATCAATTTGAATTTTTTCATTTTTTAGTTCACCATTGTTGAAAACTCAAAAGCATGCGTAATTTTGGCCACTGTGATATTTGATTTGATCAAATGAAAAAAAAAACTTGATTCTTTTTTAATGTTTTTATTTCAAAAATAATAAACAACATATTAGTGACTATGAGTCAATAAAAAAAAAGGATTATTTTATTTAAATAAAAAATAAAACATAATTAAATTGTCTTCATTTAAAAGTTATTAATTACCATTGACTAAGGCATAGCCTAAAAAAATGAAAAGTATAGTAAAAAATATATTAAAGACATTGTCAGATATTGCCCTGCAGTGTTTCATTTAGGTTTTTTTTTCGAGTGGATGCCGCCCCTCCAACTCACCCAGTAGATAAATCACTGAGCACATAGGCACAAACTTTTATCACAGCTGTCAGTAGGCTACTTTTTTTTCTGAACTGGCCTAGTTCGAAATGCCTGCAGGTTGATGGATACTTCTGATTTTACGAATACATTTAATTCCAGAACTCTGCATTAATGTATCATTCTAATTATTCACGTGTTTCCATAAATATAATATAATAAAAATTCTTGCACGAAATAATAAATTAAAGCAAAGCTTTTGATCATATTAGTTCTGTTTCATAAAATCTAAAAGAAATGCAGTCATGACAGGACAAACAACATTTATTAGATCTCTAAGAAAGAGATAAAAGAAAATGCATAACGAAAATGAGGAGAATAAGCAAGGACATTTACATTTAACAATCAATTTTCACAGTAGCACGAGCGAAAAATTCATCATCTATTTGCTTTTGATCTAAATATGTCCTATGACATTAAATTAACCTTGGGTTCAAGTATTTGTTGCTGAATTCGAATGAATTTCTCCAAATACTCTCGAAGAGTAAGGCGATATGTCAGCGTATGGGTTTCAAAACGTAAGAACTAAGTAGTTCAACAAATCTGGCCTGGCAGACAGTTCTGATTCGTATAGACTTCTGCTAATATGCAAAATATCAGTTCAATTAATAAATCACAGTTAGGAACCTTTCCTTGTAAAGCATGTCTTATTCTACAGAATCATTTTTTTTATTGCTATCAAATCTATATTGGCAATAATAATAAGTGATTGCTTCAATTTTCAGTGTTACGATATTTAGAAAAGTCGCATTTGTTTTTACATAACATCTTATCATAGTCAACAGAATATAAGAGGAAATCTATGAAAACATTTCTTCACTTGATTTTTTTAATACATGGCGTCTATGCATTGAAACAGTATTGATGTTCTCTTGTTTATGAATGTGCGACGTCTGCGGTAAAAATATGATTCATTATTATTGCTGAAAAGAATTAACAGCCATTGAATAATCAAACCTTCACCTCTTGAAAATGTCATTTATTATATTTTCAAATATTCGGTGATTTTATCATAACAAAAATCTTCTTGTTTAATTACTTTTCATATATCCGATTTTATTTTTCTCTATCATAAATAGCTGTACAAACCATTTCAATTAGTTATTTTTATTCTATTTGACTAATGACATATGTAATATTTTATTTTCCAAGAACTTCTGAAAACAGAAAACAACAAAAACACGAACTGGAAAAATTCTGTATCGTTTGTCATTATGGGACACTTATTCACTATAGATATTGGCATCATCTGCTCATTTAATCTTTCATACAAGTACTTCCTATTCAGAACAAGTTATTATACGTATACATCTATTTTAGATAAGTATCAATCATGCCT